AGCAGCTACTGAGCTTGGTCGCGCAAACTCGGTTAATATGATCAATGATTTTTCGTCCTTTCAGGATTGTCTCGCGTTCTAATTAGCTTATAGCTATAACAGTGAAATACGATTGACTAACTTTTGTCGACTCTTTTGAGGAAACAATTTTGTCAATTCTGTTCCTGGTTCGTTTTCTTACACTGTTAGTTGTAACACGGAGAGAAGGAAACTTAATTATAGTTATCCGAGTTTGATGCAACCAAGCTGAAGAATGTTTGGCGATAAATACCAATTTGTCGGTGTTTCGAAGATTATGAATAATGTGACGAAAAAACGGTAAAATTGTATGCGCGAGGGTCGTTGGACATATGTTGACAATGTTAGACGTTCGTACAAAAGAAAAATGAAATGTTCATTAGCTTCCGAGGCTTGCATGATAGTTGAAATATTTTCTTATATTTTCATATTAATCGATTGATTCTTCCAATTTTTTTTATATAGTTTTTTTTTTCTCGGCGGAATGGCTTAATTTTCTCTTTTAATCTTTAGCTTAATCTGCCAGGATGTACAATCTTAGCCGAGCTTAGTATATAATCTTTGCTTTTTACGCAATTCTTCGACGGTAAAATACTCTAGAATACTAACATTTAGTAATAAATCGATTTTGTACATTTGTTGTCGATATCCCTATCAGTAGATTAAGTTATATTCCTCGCCTCTAAATCGCGCACCCTGCACGATTAATAATTTATAACGTTAAAAATCTTCTCTTTCTCCTTTAAGTTATCATTATTATATTAATAATTTCATCTATTCTCTCTATCTCTCTCTCTCTCTCTCTCTCAATCATTGTTATTTATTTTGTTTTATTTGTACATTCTCTTTCTTTCTCTCGAGCTTGCGAACGGGTTGTGTTTTCGCTCTCTTTGTTTTTCTATTTCTCTTTTTAACGTTTTCGAATGTTGAGGAATTGACCGAACAATGTACTTTTGTCTTTCGTTTCCTAATCAAACAGTATTGTATCTTAAATGAAAATCTATATAAGTTTCATTCTTTTTTTTTTAATTTGGATCTTTTTATTCTGGTTTGTCTGTGATCCGAAACATTAATCGATGAGATCTATCTTTATGAATGTTTAGTTGTTTTTTTTTTACATTAGCATTTGTGTATAAAAAGTTGAAGAAAAATGTCTTTTATATTTTATTTAGAAGTGTATCGAGTTGCATCGCATAAAGCATAGACGTAGAGATTCGAAAATTAATATTCCTAGAATAAAAAATTAGAAATTGAAAAAAAAAGATAAAAATTATATATATAGTTTTATTTAGAGAATAGATGTATTGTTTAATCAGAAAACGAAAGATATCCAGAAACACAAAAAAAAAAAAAAAAAAAAA